CACATTTGTTAAGTTGCCTAAAGTGCTACTAATTTGAAAGCTTCATTCATGATGAGGCCTGAGGGAGAGCCAAAAGATAGCCCTTCTCCCTGTTCTGACATATGACCCCAGGGCCCACCGCCAGGGCCCAGAATCTCCCCCAGTCCTTCCCAAACTGCTGCTCCAAGCGTCAGCTTGAATTACTCTCCACCCAGGGCTTCAAACCCAGTACCCAGAGGCAGGGTGGGAAATGGTTTGATGTGAACAAATGTATTAAAAAGAGAAACAGGGGCGCCTAGGTAGCTCAGTCAGTTAAGCGTCTGCCTTCAGCTCTGGTTATGATCTCAGGGTCCTGGGATCAAGACTCATGTTGGGCTCCCTGCTCAGCAGGGAATCTGCTTCTTCTTCTGACCCAACCCTCTCGTGCTCGCTCTCACTCACTCTTTCTCAAATACATAAAATCTTTAAAAATAAAGAAATAGAAACAGTTGGCAGTATATTAATGATAATACACAAACTAAGGAAGTGAAGAACTATGACAATTATTAACTCAGGGAGAAACGAAAAATAATTTACACAAAGTAATAGCTTACTGTTTGGCTCAGTTCCTCCTAGCAGACATATTCGTTCATTCTAGGGATATGTACCTGGATATTGATTTATCCAAATTACAACACAGTTCCTATTTTCAATGATTGCTAATATACAATTGCTGAATTGAAAGGAAATGTGAATGTGTAAAGGGAAAGGTGGGGGGTGACAGAGGTGGGAGAAGGAGGAGCCCAAGTCTTTATTTTTCATAGCAGGAGTGAACTGAAATGCCCCAACTAAGAGATCATGAAGTAGCAATTTGCTTAGAGATACAGAAGAAAACTATCCCTCCAAAACAGCTAAATGAATTAAGATACTTGCCCCTAGGGAAGGGGAGATGGGAGAGGAGATCCGAGTATTAGCTGAGCATCTTACATTTGATAAGCAAGATGTATGTACACATATATAACTGAGGTGGGGGGTAACTTAGGGAAAAAATAATTAAAAAAAAAAAAAACGAAAAGAGAAACAATCTTCAGGGAAAAAAAGGTAGAAGTATATCACCTAGAGGCCCATTTTAACATGTTGGTTTATTTTCTCCCAGTTATTTTCACCCTCTGTTTGTGATTGTCTTTCTCTTCCTCCCTCTTTCCCCTCCAGTGATCAACATTGCTGTAATCATAAAATGGATAGTGACTTACTGAGCACTTAGGTGCACAGCAGACCTTGTGTCAATACACATTTTACATGCATCATTTCATTTGATTAACCCAACTGTGCGTGCCGATATTTTAACTTCTATCATAATTATGTTCTTATATTAGCATATGGTCTTCATAATCATCTTTTTTCATGGTACGAGAATATTCCATCCAGTGGAATATGTATCTTTTCCCCAAATTATTAGACTTTAGTTTGCCAGCTCTTACTATTATAAAGAATACTGAGATGATATACTTTGCCCTAAAGCTTTTTCCTGACATGTATGCTTAAAGAGCAGAATCATGTTGCCCAGTGGCTTGTCTTAAACTGTCTAGGGCACTGTCATGTTCCGTGTCTAATGTGATGCCTCGTGTGGCTCGGAGATGGGTAGCAGAGAGAGAGGCACTGCCGTTTCACAGACGAGATACTTAGGAGCTAAGTCTTCAAGGTCACACAGCTGGAGGAAGAGTCAGAATTAAAATGCATGGTTCCCAATTCTTTCTTGGTTTCTGCCCCCACCCTCCCACCCCAGTGAAATGAAACCCAGGCTGAGCTGTCCCTGTACTTTCCTTCCCGCACATGTTGGTCTTCACCTAGTGGAGCTTCTCTGCCATGGGGCCCTGTCCTTTCACCGAGGGCCATTTCTGCTTCAGGAAAAAGTAAGACCTCTCTAGCAGCCCAAAACCACACTTCTTCTGAAATCTTCCACCAGGGCTAAGGAGGAGAAAGGGCAAGAAGGGGAAATAACAGGACAAACCAAAGTGCAATGTGCTTACTTAGAAAATGGGGCAGGAACCGGGAGAAGGTGTCTGAGGAGCAAACAAGAAAATACTGTGGTTTGGGAGGACCTTAACGCTTAAGATAAGGTGTTTGAGCTGAAGAGAGTAAAGAAGTATGACTTAGGGCGTCTTAGGGTCATGGTATGGCCTTTCTTTACTCAATTGTACGCAGGACTTTCTCGAATGTTAAATTTTTTTTTTTAGAAGATTTTATTTATTTGTTTGTTTGTTTATTTATTTATTTATTTATTTATGGGGGGCAGAGGGAGAGGGTGAGACAGAGAATCTCAAGCAGACTCCACTGAGCACAGAGCCCAACATGGGGTTCTATCCCACAACCCAAGACCATGACCTGAGCCGAACCCAAGAGTTGGATGCTTAACCGACTGAGCCACCCGGGTGCGCCTGAATCTATTTCTTGATGGTGATATATTTTCTCAGGCTAGAAACTAACCAACAATTTGATTTTTTTTCTTTCTCCTTTTCAAATGAATGATCAACAAGTAACTTTAAATATGTACTTTTTTAACCACAGAAGAAAGTGAGTCCTGCTTTGCCCAACCCAAACCACATACACTGGGAAAAGGATCTACTCTTTATGGCAAGGTACAAAAGGAAAGTCCTCCCCCCCTCGAGAAGCTCAAGATTTCAGCAGTGTCTACAGCTAATGGTGTTAAATCCCTCCATGAACAGCCCCTAGCAAACGATACTGCAGATCCACCAGGATCCACAGAAGAGACTCAGCCTCTAGACAGACCTGAGGAGTCTGGGCCGCTTCAGCCAGGTGGTGAAGATGATACTCCAGGTACAGGAGAAAAGAAGAAAGACATGGGAGCAATGACAGAGGCTCAGCCTTTAAAAGGAAATGCTGAGACTGAATCTGTAGGAACAGACACCAAGTATCAGCCTTTGAGGACCACAGGAGAGAGGGACTCTCCGGGAGCAGTGGACGGTACTGAGAATCCACAAACTGCCAGAGAGATGAAACCTCTAGGAATAGCTGAGAAAATCCCTCCTCTGGAAGCAGCTAGAAAGCCACAACCTCAAGAAGCAATGGGAAAGGGTGAACAGACCCAACTCCCAGAAACAGTTCCCAAGGAGAATGAATCTCCAGAAGTATTGGAAGGAAGTCAGTTTGTGAAAACAGCTGAAGAGTGGCAACTTCAAGAAACATTGGGAGAAGATGAGCGGTCCCAACGTGTCGAAACCATTCCCAAAGAGAATGAAACACCGGAAGTATTGGAAGGAAGTCAGTTTATGGGAACAGCTGTAAACAATTATTTGCTCCATAAAACTCCTGAAGGTCCCGGAAGCATGGAGCAGATTCAACCTGAAGGAATAATAGTTGGAAGTATAGAGCATCTGGCAGGAATTCTAGAAATAGGAGCAAATATCGAAATGGTCAGGAAAAATCACACTAATGAAGAGGACCAGCACATTGAAGGTAAAAGTTATGCTGGTTGTTTAGATGTGCTGCATAAGAAATCATCCCTGGGGATCTCTATTTCAGGTGGTTGGACTTCATTTGACCCAAACCAAAAGGGCTTCCATACCTGGAAAACAGGCTTTTGGCTTGGCTTTCCAGCAGAAATTTTCTACACTTAATCTTAGCCAAATGGCTGAGAAGCGATCCAGCAAAAATTTTCTAAAACATAGTCTGTGTCCAAAATTTTTAACCTGGAGCTGTCATTGTTGAATACAATTGGATGTTGAAGGCACGTGTTAAAAGTTCTGAATTTTTCCAAGTTCACTTTTCATCAGGCCCCATGTATGGTATTAGGATCCAAAGTAGCGAATGGAGGAACTCACCTTCTAATGAAAGAATACCCAGCTAATGGATCTTACAGGGCAATTTTCATCTTTGCCGATCTATCCTAGGAAAAAAATTACTGTCAGTCTGCTCCTGTCCTCCAACTGGCTTCTTGTCTCTATGAGAAGACTTAGAGACAATGTATTACTTTTTGGCATATGTGTTTTTAAAATGTACTTTACCAGCATAAAAAATGGTATCTATACTGTTCTTTCTTGGAGTTATAATTTTAAAAAAATAACATTTCTTCTGGGGCGTGATTTACATTTTGGTAAATTTTAGCTTCATACTATAGTATAATTAAGTCAAGCATTCATCCATCTGTTTCTTAATTCATTTATGACCACAGCAGTTTTTGAATGCCAGTCATATGCCAAGTGTGTGGGGGGGTGTAGGAGTAAGAGATAGGCCCTGTTCTCCAGGGGCTCATAGTCTGGTGGGAAGAAGGCAGAATTTAAACAAATTACCACAATCTATTGAGGTAAGAATTTTAATGAAGGTGTATAAAAGTGCTCCAGGAATAACAAGGGAGGAGCAAGTAAGTAAAAGCATGTATTTGTTGGACTAGGGTTAGCAAACTCAAGTCGTTAGAGCCTCGGATAAGGATAGTGAGTCAAGTGAAGGGCACATGTTATGTCTTGGGGAGTCCTGGGGACTGTAGTGAACAGGTACACCATGCTATCAAAAGAGGCAGCTGCTTCTTGGCTCCATCTGTGAGCATGGGGGCCAGTGTTGCCTGTACTGACTTCTTAGGGAGACAGATTTGTGTCTACAACGTCCCGACTTTTATTTATTTATTTTTTCAGATTTTTAAATGTTTGCAATCTTTAAATGTTTAATGATTGTTTTCTTTAAACACCATCATGGCCCAACAAAATAGGTTTCTGGGCATGCCTAGACCACCTTTTCATTTAAATATAAAGGGAACTTTTTATTTATAATATGTTCTGCTCTCATTTCTTGGGTGATTCTGCAGCCTGATTTTATATAGGGGGATGCCAAGATAGGAGATGTGAAGTGACATTGGCCATTCAGAGGATCTGAGAGAATCAGGGCAATTGCCTTTCTTGACCCCACCAGAGAAACTTACTAATTAGACCTAGAGAGCAGGAACTGCCCCATTGGAAACCAGCTGTCGGGTACTTTATTGTTAATGCCAAATGAGCATCTCATAACGTCTCCTTTGCTTACTTTTCCAGGTGAGACAGGAGAAAAAGTTGAAACAGAGATGGAGAATGAGAAAGGAAGTGAAGGGCCTGGAACAAAAGAAGAAGAAACAGGGGAAGCTGTGGATCTTTCAGCGGCCACATAGATTGGCATGGTTGTAGAAGGATGAACGGACAGTGTGTTGTAACAGAGAAAAATGGAGTGAAGTGTGTGGGTACAGATCTTATCTTTCAGTGTCTACGCATTTTATACGAAGAGTGTGGTTATCATGTTCTTGATTACGTTGTTCCATAAAACCGCTAGGCTGTAAACAGTTTTCTTAGGCACTTAGAATAGTAACACGTTCAGACCTGCAGCTGCCACAGCCGATAAGAAGTAGGGTATAGGATCCCCGGAGGGTGAAGGTGTTTTCTTCATTGTGGTAATAGGTGTATTCAGTTTAGAAAATGAGACCCTAAAAAGAAGGTATAAACCTTAGATATAGGTGGAGAAAAGAGTTAGCACATTTTAGGGAGCTCATGATGATAAGGTTACACAGTTACAATTACAATGGGATAAGAATGAACAACAATGTCAGGCTAAACTATACCTAGTGTTTCTTTCCTGTTGCAGAATTTAAAGCTGGTAGGAACCTTGGAAAGTGTGTCCATCTAGTTACTTTCTCACCTTGAATCTGTCTACTGCCTTAGACTCTTATTTATCATGATGTGTTAAATGTGTTAACAAAATCCTTGTCAAAGGAATGCAATCTCTGGTGCTATTGCAAAATCAGGTGTTTCTACACCAAAAGGCTATACATTTTCCACGTGCCATTTTGAATTAGCTGTTGATTTTGCAGTTACGTGAAGGGTTTCAATTGGTGTTATCCTTTTGACTGATATTAAACGTATTTTAAATAAATTGACTTTTGGGGCACCTGGGTGGCTCAGTTGGTAAGCGTCTGCTTTCGGCTCAGGTCATGATCTCAGGGTCCTGGGATCGAGCCCCACGTCGGGCTCCCTGCTCGTCAGGAAGCCTGCTTCTTCCTCTCCCACTTCCCCTGCTTGTGTTCCTGCTCTAGCTGTGTCTCTCTCTGTCAAATAAATAAATAAAATCTTAAAAAAAAAAATTGACTTTTAAATGTATTTCAGAGGCAACAAACAATAAGAATTAAAACCTAGATTAGTGAGGCGCCTGGGTGGCTCAGTCGGTTAAGCGTCCTACTCTTGATTTTGGCTCAGGTCATGATCTCAGGATTGTAAGATTGAGCCCTGCTTGGGCTCTAGATGCTGAGCTTAGAGTCTGCTTAAGAGTCTCTCTCTCTCCCTCTCCTCCTGCCCCTCCCCACTGCACCCCTGCACGTGCTCTGTGCATGCCCTCTCTCTAAAAACAAACAAACAAAACACCTAGATTAGTTGCCTATGTGAAGTTTATTCCTTGGGTCTTGTTTATGGTTTTTGTTGTTTGTTTTTAATTTACTGTGGTTTAATGTTAGGCTTTAGAGGCAGAAAGAAGCTAAGAAATTAGAATTTAAAAACCATTTATAATATTTCATTAATGTTAAAATGATGCACCATTGAAAGTTACTTTTTAAAAATTCTTCCAAAATTGCCAAGGGATTTTGGTGAAAGATCATACATGAATGGTAATGATGATAGCAATCTTGTCCACCATTCGGTGCCTTGTGTTTATGAATATCAGGATAGAATTATATTCTGGAAACATTTGGTGTCTTTTCTTGTTTGTAAATATCTATTTTAAAGGTAACTGTTCAGATGAATTAACTAGACTCTTTTACTTTAGCTTTTATATTAAAATGACTACTAAGATGACTTGTAATTAATTTCAAGAATATAGGATACAGGGAAGAATTATCATCTTTATTCTGATTTTCATATTAGTTTATGTTTCTGGCTTTAAAGCGTTGAAGTAGACAACAAGAGGAGGTCCGTGAGTAGATGACATCTTCCTTTCTGCAGAGCGGCTGGATTGTGATTTTATTGAGAGCAAGGACCGTTTTATGTATCTTTAATTCAGGCATTTATCTCCTTTAGTGGAACATGAAATGTGCTTGATAAATATTTGTCAAATCAATAAATGAATAATGAATACCAGGGGCTCCCATATACGTTTAATTCTTTAAAAAAGAATAGATTTAAAATATCAGTTTGTGTAACACTAACTTTTTCATGAGGGCTGCTCAAGCTCAGTAACAAGCTATATATTTGGTGTAGTTCTGAAAACACTGTTTTGTGGCCAGGGAGTTAAATAAATGAGAACTGATATAATATCTTTCAAGCTGCTGCCTTTTGTAATCCAAAGGTGTTTTCCCTGACCAAAAGGTATTTTTATACAGATATCTAGTAAGTAGAAAATGATAGAGTTTAGTATAAAATATGAATGATGATCTTAAAGGGTGGAATTGTACTTTGTGTCAAGTATTGAAATAGTGGGATTCACTTACTTAATAGACATAAAGGTCCATCCTCTGTTGTGTGGTTTCTTTTTTTTAATCAGTAGCATGAGTTAAAAGAGACCTATTCAGAACCGATTCTTGGAAGAACTCTGTCTCAAAGGCATTATTAGAGAGTTGTAATGTAAGTTTTCAAATTGTTTATGAATCTTGGCATTTTCCATTAATTACTAAAATAACTTATTCTTAGATTTTGGAAATTTGTGTAAATTTCTAGTACTTTTTATACTTTGGCCTTCAATGTGGCTACTAAGACATTTTTAGAAACTGTTCTTATTCTTACAGATAATATTAATAATTTTTATTCAAAACCTATAATTTAAAATGTTCCATAATATGTGAATATTCTAGAATTGAAATATTTCATCTAAATTATTACTTATTTTAAAAAATAAATAAGTGCCTGTAGTAAAACTCAATACAGAAAAGTATGAAATGGGCAGTGAAGTTCTCCCTCCCATATCTTTTAGTCCTTCCATGAAAAGATAATAAGGTTTCTTGCATATACTTCCACAAGAATGTAATATATATGCCATACTTTATGAATATGCTAAAACATAAGTGTATATTTACATATCCACATTTTAAAACACAAATGAGAATTTACATAGCCCTTGTGTTGTGAAAAGTGCATGTAAAACCACTAATCTATCCTTTCCTGTGTTAGAATTTTTCTCTTTTGCCAGGACTGACAGGCAGCATAGCCAAGTGCATTCTGTTTTGAAGTGCTCACTCTGAGCAGAGATAATCAGTTTTGCCCCAGATTCAAAACACAGAAGTTGGACAAAAGCCTTGAGCTGTTTTTAATGAATTAATAAGAGAAACTATCACTGGGGGTGGATTCTCTCATCCTGGGGTGCTATATATAGCCCCAGGATTGTAGCCCTGTTTGTGTTCTACTAAGATAATTTCAGTATTTTCTACAAATAAGTGGGAGGGAAATGGTGAACAAATGATTTGCCAGCTAGCAACCCCAGTAGGGAGTGGATGTTTGCATTTACCAACAGAGGGTGCCAGTTGCAAAGCTCAGAAACTCACAGTCTGACTCCAGAACTCTCGGCCAGAAGTGCTGTGTACCCAGTCCCCCGGGGGACCCACGGGACAGGAGTATGTGGCCAACCTGTGATCTTACTGCCTTTTCCATTTTAACTTTGGAGCAAGAACTCCTAACCCAGCTTGGAGCAGTCAAAACCCTCTTATCCCTTATCTTATCAAAGATAAGGGATCTTATCAAAACCCTCAATATCCCTCTTAAATGCTTTGTTCCACACTTGGCCTTGAATTAAGAATAAGAATGGCTTTAAAAGGAAATGTTTTTTCCACATTTAACTAATCCAAGAGCATTGGATAGTCATGGCCAAATAACCTGATAGGGTTTGTATTCTGTGCTCTTTCGGAAACCACAGAAGCTTACTAGAGCACCTAACATTACAAACATCTCATTTTTAGAAAGATGATTCGGTGACTAGTTGTGAATTGTTTCACAGATGCCAGCAATGTGAACGTCATAAAGCCATTCATTAGCTTGCCCACATTTGTAAGGTAAAGGGAGAATGATCCTCTTTTTCTCTCCCCACACCAAATAGCCAGGCATGGCTGTGTCTGAAAAGTCGAAAGCATTTGCTCACAAGGTATCACTTAATCTAAAACTCTGTCAGCTCCTCTCTTCCTCAGAGTTTATAAAGTTAATGAGCATTTGGTTATACTCGCAAGGTTTTAATTACAGAAACAGAATCAGTGTAATCCTAGAGAGCATCTCACAGGGATGGAATTTCTCTTTTCATTTGTTACGATCTACAAAAGCTAGGGAACTGCCTGGGATTACTAATCCATGTAGAATCAAATTGGAGGCCATTAGCTTTATTTCAGTAATACCACTCAGCAAACTTATTGGACAGTATATGAGATACTGTAACTTCACACCTGTATCATTATTTCTATGGCTAATGAAGTCTCCAGACATCAAAGCCAGGCTTTAATGCCTTTTGAAAGTAGAAGGGTACGCCTTCAGTTTAATAATGTGCTATATCAACATGAATAAACATGCTCTTTCTACCCACTACTGGGGAGAGAGATCAGCAAGCCTCACCAGTTTCCAGAAAAAGAGTTCTGAGAAACCGGTTAGCGATACTAATTTTTTTAAAATTGAAGTATAGCTGACAAACATAGGGATGTTAACTTTGGTTTGAAATCTGCCTCATTTTTTCTTGTACAACATAGATGGTTCTCAAATTTTTCTTAATAAAAGCAAAATATCATTCGTGCTATTATATAAATTTATGAAAAAAGTAATGCATATTATATTGAGTTGATTTATGCAACCCTATTCCAAACATTTAAAAAGAATTATTCAAGGACAAGAACAGAAGCTTTCTATGGCAGCTGAACTGTTGGAGAGGGGCTTTGGGTTGGGAGGAGTTTCAGCCCCAGTGCCAAGTAAGAAGTCACAAGGCCCACAAGGTGACAAGTCACAAGGTGACTTTTCTGACCATCACCACACTCCCAACAGTTCAGTGAGGGGACAGACTATTTAGACCATAGATAGTAGGTATTTAGTGGATCAGCACAGATTTGCTTCATGTTTTCTGGATATTTGAGTGTTTTTGGTAAAAATAACACTGGCATTGTCTAGGTACTTGAATGTGACACAGTGATCATTTAGGTGATAATTACGAGAAAGGATTTATTATTAA